TTTAAGTTATGGATTTAGATATATTTATATTTAGTGTGATCACAGAGAAAAAACATATTGAACTGAAAAGCTGTGTCAACATTTTTCAAAAGCATTTTATGTCTGATCACAATAAAACTTCTATGCTTCATAAATACCATGAAGTATACTGTATAGGCAGCAATGGGCAGACAAGTGGCTAACACCTGTAATTGAAACCTGGCAAAATTAGCATTATTGATATAAAGATTAATATTTCAAAAAGCTTATTGTATTGCAAGAAGCAATAAAACATGTGAATGTCATAAAAAAGTGAGAACATTGAGATTTCACCCTGTTGATAACTATGTTCATTAGTTTATTGTTTTCCGGTATGATTTCAGTTCTTGAGTACTCGGCTGGATAAGCATGGTAAGCAAACTATTTGATCCACTATTTTCACGACGATGCTTTTATTTTCCCACAGATATCTTCAACAGTTATTATAACACTAGAAATATATCTCTGTGCAAAGTCGTTCAACATTGTTTGACTAGCAGTGCAAAGAAACACTTAATTCTTGCAATAAAATGTCTTTTTGCCCTTGGTAAAAGCTTTAGTTTCCAGTTACTTATTGACCCAATCAACGGGTCATGACCTCTACCTGGGGAACTTGAGTTAGTGGGTGTTAGCTTCCGTCAAGAAGTTGATTGTCAAAGGCGGATGCTTTTTTATTACAAAAACTCTGCAGTGTGTAACAGGATGGATTACTTGTCTTTTAAGTATGCTTTAGTGGCAATGCTGTACTCCTTGTTTTGATTTCACTGAAGATTTATGTTGCTATTAAGTAGGGTTTTAAATTCATTTATACACATTCATGTGATTTTCTTTACTAGGTAAAGGTCACATAAAGTACACCTTTTGTGATACAATGAAAATGATTGGTTAATTAAAATCATGTTATCCTTGTAAATATTAATAGGACCACAACATATGTTTGTTTGTGGACATTACATTTTTTTTGCATCCTATAATTATTAATAAAAAATGATTGAGTGAACTGCTATTGCAAATGCTTAGGAATTGCAGTTTAGTCATCTGTTACCTTGATAATGTTATTGTAGCCACTGGAACTCCTGTAAATAGCAATACTGGAATGCTGGAAAAGAGTGAAAGGACTGACAGAAGCAGCAGCAAAAAATATGATGGTGAGGTGGTAGTAGTTTCCGGTAGCTCTGTTACTTTCATGCTGCCATGTCAACTACATCAAAGTAGATGCAGTGAGTGCTTAGCTCCACATTCAGATTTGATTGCATGTTTTATTATTTTATTCATACATTTCTAGCCATAGTTCTGAAAAAAGGGACACTGTAATTGTCCCAAAATGTTTTAGATATATATTCCATTAAAACATTTATTATTATTATAGCACGGAATCGTGCTGACCGATATTCTTTCCCTTTCTTTCTACTTTATATCCATCATCAAAATCGTTTTTTTTTTTCCATCAAGACATATAATTCCTATCTGGGTTTACCACATCTACTTCAGTTTTAGTTTCTTCTCACCAAAATACCGTTTTATAATAGTAATCAGTGACGTCACAAGGGGAGTGCGGCCCGCACCCAGGGGACACCATTGGAGGGGTGACACCAAAATGTCTGACAGTAATTTTGGTGTCACCCCCTCTAAAAAGTCAGGCACTCGGTCATGGACCGAGAGCCCGACAGTTTGAGGAGAGAGGCGGGGACCCGGTGTCATAACTCATCCCACCGGGTGAACGTCCCCTCCTCTCTCTGCCGGAGTCCATCACCAAGATGGCCACCGACAGGTGTCAATCATGTGGGATGACGTCGTTGCGCACGCACAAGCAGGGTGAGAAATTCTTGGCTTAACCGTGTCTACGTCCTATCAGATGCAGTCACTGTTTGGGTATTTAGCCGCGGGTGCTGAAGCTGCTTGAATACAATAGCTGGCAAAGGATGATGATAAAACAATGTTTTTACCAATGTACGTACTGTTTGGGGGGGGGGGTGAAACTTGTATAAGGTAATACTAGCATCTTGCTTTAATGTGGAACTCTAAACAAAATGAATTTACATTTTTAATAAAATGGGGAAAAGTTAGAATATCTGGAAGTTTTTTTTTCTTTTTTGCTGTTTGTAACCAAAGAAATTCACCTTCACTTCCTCTCCCAGAGACAACTCTATTGCTAAAGCTATAATGAGAGCCCTGAATGTAATCCATGCTTTAAAAAAAGTTAGCACATCTCTTTTAATCTAAGGCCCAAGTCACATCTGCACCTGTTAGTTGGGGTGCATTGTATGTGTGTTGCACTTTAGCCGCATTTTACATGTGTAACTATTGAATTTTTGATGCTGCTCATCCCCCCGCCGCCCCCTGCCCGCTGTGGTTTTCAGGGCCCTCTGCTCTTTTGGGGGACCCAGGACCACAGCAATAATTTCAGGATGGAGAGGGGGGAGCAGACCAGAGAATTTCCGTTCTCCAATCTGCTCTGTGATCAGTGACACAGGAGCGCTGTGTTCACAGCGCTCCCTGTATTAACTGTTACATGTGGGGCTGTACAGAAGGTCCAGCGCAATGCTTTGCTAGATCTTCTGTGCTGGAGGGCAGGTTCCATAAAGAGTCTGTCACCTCCGAATGCTATCACATAGGTGATTGTTATCCCCTGTGTGATAGCAATAAATTTAAATGAAACAAATAATGTAAAAAGTGATTTAAAAAAATGAAAATGATAAAATAAAAATGAAAAAAAATAAAAAAGGTAAAACAATAAAATAAATAAAAATGAAAATAATTATTAAAAAGTATAAAATAAATAATAAAAAAATTAAAACCAACCCCACTGCCCCCGCCATCTGCGTGTGAATACACGCACACGTAGGGCATTGTATGTGTGCTAAGTGCTGTCTCCATTCCACTGTGTGCCATATTGTGGTAGCAGGCCAGCAGAGCTCTCTAACACTCACAATGTACATTAAAGTGTAAGTTCACTTTCCAAAGTAATTTGGGAAAATGAGATTACCCGCTCAATTCTGGCCCTCTCTCCCCCCTGCTATACTAACCTTTTGGCGAACGGTCCTTCCCCTCCTCCAGTATGGATATACTATCTGTTCCCCATACTGCTGTCCACCACAGCCCTGTGCTATGGATTTTGAATTTCACCCGCAAATTGCAAGCACTTGTTGGAGGAATGCGCTGACCAATGAGAAGCAGTTCTTAGCACGGTTAAATACGTTTTTGGATAACATTATTTTTTGTATCATGACAAGTAGATTGTCATGAGGAACAACAAGTAGTTTTTTTTTTTTTTTAATTTCCACAACTCTGATGTTTCATGTTTACATCCTGAATATGGGTGTAACATGAAACAGAGTAAAAAAAAAAAGGTAAACTTAGCCAGGTAAACATGGTAAAACAAGGTAAAAAAAAGGTAAACAGGTGGACGCGGATAGTTGCGGGTGCTAAGCCTGTAGAAAGCAATGACAGGCTGACAGGCCGGAGCTGTGTGGTGGATAGATGATCACCCCTGGCCGCAGACTCCTGGATGCAAACTTCCCCCGTCCAGGGTCAATCATCCGTCTCTAACCACAGGTAATGTGCGATTACATACAGACAGTTGTGGCCAACGTCAGCCTGTCACAGCACAGCGGCCATACCTATCCACATCCACCAATTAATCCATCTGCAGGAATCCGCTGGATCCTTGCCACAGCTGGGACATTTTTGTTGTGTGAGCGAGGCCTTTAGTTATCCAGTCTCTTGTTGTATGTACGTTCCAGCAAAAACACATTTCTCATTTTTCCCTCACTTTTCATGACGGTGAAAATGCTCATTAGGATGACTCTCACAAATGGGGACACAAGCAGCAATAAAACCTGAGAGGAATATAAACCTGACAGATATTATGATCTTCTTTTGATCCACTATATCCAAAACTAAATGAAAAGTTTTAGCTTCACTCACACTTTAATTCCCACATACAGTAATACCTTGGTTTACAAGTAACTTGGTTTGAGAGTGTTTTGCAAGGCAAGCAAACATTTCTGAAAAATGTTGCCTTGATATACAAGCAAGGTCTTGCAATAAGAGCAAAATTTTGTAGAAAAGCACCACCCGAATAAGGCTGTAGCAGTGCGAGCGATGAGTCTGTTTAACGACAATGCGATGTCACATTGAATAGATTGCTTGTTAAGGTTTCACGAAATGAAAAAGATTCCATTGAGTCAAGAGATAGCAGTGAATCTGTTAGTGATAGTGAAAGTCGTCCTACACAATAATCCTCCTCTCTCTTGTCCCCCTCACACCAGCCACGAAGGTACCGGTAATTGGTTTATTTTCTTCATATTTTGTACGATATTATATTATAGTACAGTATTGTAATCATTTTTATATGAATATTTTTGGGTTGTGGAACGAATCATCTGAATTTCCATTATTTCCTATGGGGAAATTCGCTTTGATATACAAGCACTTTGGATTACAAGCATGCTTCCTGAACAAATTATGCTTGTAAACTAAGGTATTACTGTATTTGCAAAATGACACATTTTCATGGCAGTGCAATTACGGTATAGTTTATGACTTTAGTTGTATGGTGTATTCCTATAGTAGTATTCTGTTATTCAGCTTTAAGAAACATAGCACACTGACTGCAGAACAATTAGCTGCAGTCAGGACTAGGTGTAAAGGCTCCATGCAAATAAATCACTCCTGGCCTGTGCTCTGCTCAGTCACCACTAGAGGTCCCACTTGCAGTTTCTCCGGGTCAGAATGTAGAATCTCATCAATCAATGAGCTCTGCGACCATGTGATTCCAGTCACATGATGTTTTCATGTAACGCAGTTTACTAGCTTCAGCCATCCGCTTCTCTTCTCTCAAAGCCGATTGGCTGGCGGAGATCAGCTACGGGGAAGCCTTGGCAGTGTGTTTACGTTGCTAGGATGTGCTGCCCACACCCACTTCCTGAGCAAAGATGCCCAAAGCGCATGCGCAGCGTTCAATTTTTGGCTCCTGAGTCGTGCAGCAGAGTGGATGGAAAGATTGGGTATGTAAGAAACTTTCCCATTATCACGAGTTTATTTATTGAAAGAAATATAAGTGCTTATCAAATGTTACATTTAGTCTTTGGGTATTAAAGGGGTTCAAGGATGTGTGCTTTCTTTAAAGTGCATGGGAGCCTGAGCCATGAATTTGTCATGTTGGCTCCCTTGTGCTTACAGAAATCTAATATGTCATTTAAAAAAAATGTCTTCTCTTTCATATGTGCAAATAAATACGTGTGACAGTGCTGACAAGCTGCGAATGCCCTGGTAGCGTTGTCACTAGTAATGTGAACCGAGTTCACCCAAGCCCGTGCAAACTGCCAATGACGCAACCCCTTCCTGGCCCAATCAGTTGCGGCTGCGGCATTCTTGCCCCTTTATGGTGTGTAGCTGCTGGATGGGGATTGCCCTGGCTGCAAGTAATTGGGCGGGGGGTTGCTACTGACAGTTGTGACTGGCTGGGTTTACACTGAGACCCCATTCACACTGCACTACATCAAAAAAAGCATTTTCAGCGCTGTTTGAGCTGAGCGACATTGAGCTTCAGTGCAGTGCACATTTTGTCGTGCTACGTAGCGCCTCTTTTGGCAGTCTATCAAAGCCTATTGGGGCCAAATCGCACAAAATCCACTGGAAAAATAGGTCCTGCTCGAGCGACAAGTTTGAGCTACTGGCTACAGGCAACATTGAGCTGTGAGATGCGAACAGCTCCATTGAAATGCATTGGAAGGGTTACATTGAGCGATTTTTTTTTTTTTTTTTTTTTTTTTTTTTTTTTTTGGGGGGGGGGGG